TCACAATTCATGACCCTGCCCTCTCTCCTCCCTCACGACTCTTCTCAAATCTGTGGTCTGTCCATCCCACGGCCCCACCTGGGTCCTAACCAGCACCATGTCCTCTGCCTCTCGCTGGTCTCCCTGCCACCTCTCATGTCACTCTCCTGTCCCTCACCCCACCCTATGTGGGAACCTTCACCATCTTCAGGATAAGATGGACACAAGGTCCTGCCTCATGTTCCTATACTCCTGCCGCAGGGAATGACTTTGAGCCTCTCAAAGGGGCCACACTCCCTCGGTCGCAACTTGGCTTGCCATGCCCTCAGAACATGGTCCCTCTACCCCCACCCTTCAGGCCCAGCTGCGATGTCCCTTTCTTGGGGATTCAGGCTCCAAACCTCCCAGACTTTGTGCTTCGACAGCCCCTGCTTAACTCCTAACACAGCACGTGTCACTCCATATCACAGCTGCTCAACCACTGTGTCCTCCACTGGCTCGGAGCTCCCTGAAGTCAGGGGCCATGCTGAGCAGGGGCCTTGCATCTGGCAGGTGCTTCGTACTATCTGTGGGCTAAATGGTCCCTTCAGGAAGTGGGGGGAGGGCTCAGTGGAACCAGAGCGCTGGGTTCCTGAAGGGGAAGGTATAGTGGGGACCAAGAGATCGTTCCAACCAGGGGGCACTGATGACTGTGGGAGACTAGATCACTTGGGAAGGGAGTTTGGGGAACAGAAAACGAAATGTCCAGTTTCCTCCCTCACACTCGGCCTTGGCGCAGATGAGGCTGGCCGAGGGGTAGTTGAAGGACTTGAGGATTCGGGAGACCGCCAGGCTGACATCCTCGTTACTGGGGTACAGGCTGACAGATGCAAAACGAAGGTACTGGAGGCGAGGCGTCTCCTCGGGACCCACCTTGATGTGGGGGATCTGGACAGAGAAGGAGCTTTTGCTTCTATCCTGCTCCCTCCTCCCCATCCTCACCTCCCCGGGACCCGCACCCTGCCTCACCTCCTTCTCCCCACAGATATGGCTCACGGTGGAAGCAGATGCAGGGCTGGAGGAAGGCCCCAGGACAGACACGACCCCCTTAGGCAGGATCTGACACACTGTGAGGGGTAGGAAGAGACCACAGAGTCAAGGACCCTTTCCCTCCTCCCCGTCCCCACCACCAGGGAACCACCCCAGCCCAGGAGTGGAACTGACACTCCTCCACCATGGGGATCCAAGGGCCCAATCCCTGCCACCCTATGGAGGGGCACAGACAGAGAGAGACAGGGAGAAATGGCAACAGAGAGACAGGTCAAACCAGAGAAAAACAAAGAGAGGAAGAGGAAATACCAGGGGCCTCCTCTGGCTGCAGATCCAGTGCCAGGTCACTCGGCCTGCATTTTCCTCAGCCTTTCCAACCATGCTACAACCTTAGGTGCATCCAACACCCCTTCCACCCCGAACCCGTGGCCAAGGTCCCCCCTACCCTCTGCACCCCAAACACCATGCTTCTGTGGCACTTGCTTGCTCTACTTTCTTCCACATTCTTTCCCCTTAAACATGTGTGCATCTCAAGTCTCGAAAGTAGAAGCTGTTGCTATGGCTGCCCAATGCCCATTCTCAAGGCAGAACCCTGACTTTTCCTCAGGGAAGCCCCATGGTTCCCAGGATCGATTGTCACCTGACCCAGGATTACAGAACCATATCGTCCTGGCCACTGTGATTGGTTCAGAGGCTGAAACGGGCTCACACCAGGCCTTGGGGAGCCTTCCCCAGGTCTTCTGCTACAATTATTACTGGGTTTGCTAAATTGGTGATATAAGTTCTGAGCTGTTGGAAACACACTGCCACCAGTTGGGAAGGGCATTCCTGAAAATTAAGCCAACTTAGAGAAAAGCAGGACCCAGAGATGAAGACAGAGAGATCCCTGCCACATTCAAATAAAAGCATCAAAACTAAATGCCTTATCTTCCTCCAAACTTGCTCCTTTTATAGTTTCCACACTGGTGAGGACTCACCATTCAAATACCTGGAAATGTGACCCTTGCTTTCAATATGTCTCCCAATAGCCAATTAGACACCAAATTTTCTTTTTTTGTCCTCAAATCTTCTCACAACTATCCTCTTCTCTTCGACTCCTCCTCCCCTGCTCTACTTCAGGGCTCTCAACTCAGCCTCCTCACTGATCACCTGAATCTAGCCTCTGGATTCACTTTCACCAGCTCCCTGGGCTAAACCCACCGACAAGTCCCCACTGCCTACAGGTGAAGGCAACATCTTCAAGCCGACTACTGCAGGCCTCCTGGAGCTGGCCTGCCAGTCTGCCCAACCTCACCTCCCACTCCCAGTCACACTCTAGTCCAGATGTCGTCTCTCATGATCCTCCTAAACATGTCCTGAGTCCAGGTGGTCAGGATGGGTGTAACCCCGTACCCTGTTCCTTGGCTCTGAATACCCCCCCCCACCCTCCACCCCAGCTCCAGACTACAAGCACATGCCCAGAACACCATCTGTCTCCTCACCCTCTATCCCAGCTTCTCCCAATTTATATTCTGTGCTGCAAAAGTCAAAAAGTCCAGGAAACATTACTCCTCATTCTCCCTCTCAGTGATTTGAAATATACATGAACATAATAAATGCTCTGATAAGGCCTGTAGGAAAGAAATCTGTCTAAAACACATTTGAAGGCAGCATCTCCCAAAGGACAATAACTCCAGCATGTTAACTGACATTCATTCAATCCACAGTGTTCAACGAATACTTATGCACCCCTACTATGTGGCATACTTTGAGCAACACCACTCTTTGTATATATTTTGTTCATCTTTCAGAGCTCAATGTCAGTTTAGCCTTCTCCAGAATGCCTTCAGTAGCCCTGCCCCTTAGGCCCCTGCCTTATTGCCTGGGCCCCTCATTACTCAGCCCTGGAAGCTAAGTGTCTTTGGTCAACTATGAAGCTTATTTTTCTTTTAAATACATTTTTTATTGATTTTTAGAGGGAGAGAGGAAGGGAAAAAAAAAACATCAATTGAGAGAGAAACATTGATTGGTTGCCTCCTGCACACACCCCTACTGGAGATTGAGCCCGCTATCTTGACATGTACCCTGACTGGGAATCAAACCAGAGACCTTTTGGTGCACAGAAGGACGCTCAACCACTGATCAACACCAGCCAGGGCAAAGCTTATTTTTCAAATGAGGCCCTCAGGGCAGGACTGGGCCTGATGCCCTCTCCATCCCCATCCCCAGCAGCACCATCTCTGGGAGACAGGCAGAGCTGACATGAAGGAAGGGACGAATGGAGCTAGAAGAGGACAAGGTGAGCTAAGGAGGTAGGGGGGCCGAGGGACCCACTGAGGGGTACTAGCCAGCCCAGCCTCACCCCACACCCCCGAGGCCCTGCTCACTGGTGTCCGTGGTCTCGTACTGGCTGTCCCGCTGCAGCTCAAAGATGTCCACTTCCACTCGGGCCTTGGCTGGGACCTCGATGATCCCGTTGATCTGCTCCCGGGCCAGGGCCAGGGCCAGACGCTCACCACGGCCACACACCGTCTGATCATCCAGGATTGCAGCTGAGAGGACACAGGGGTTGGGGACCAGACTCCGAGATCCTGGGGTGGGAGTGGGGATGGGAACTGGGGTCTGGACTCCTGGATCTGAGGCTGAAGAGAACTGGGTCCAGGGAAGAAGTAGCTGGGGACTGCCGCTCCTCAATGCTGAGGAAAGCTGAGAGCGGAGGCCCGGATCCCTGGGTCCTGAGGAAACGGCCTGCCTGCGTTCCCAAAGAGGAGCCCAGGGTCCGACGGGAGGGTCTCTGAGGAGGCAGGGGCAGGGCTGCAGGGCCTCACCCATGCGCAGTGATGAGAGCACCTGGCAGCTGGGGCTGGCAAAGGCGACAATCAGCAGCAGCAGCAGCTCAGCCGGCATCTTCCTCCCCTCCTCATGGGGACGCAGCTGCCGCGGCCCCCACTCGCCACCTGCAGGGATCACCATGGGGAGACTGAGCCCCTTTGGAGGACTGCTGGACAGGGTGACCACGGACCTGGGACATTGTGAGTGAGCTCTGAAGGGCCCTGCCCTCATTAGAAGCTGACAAGACAGTGCTGAGGGCATTGCTAGGAAGGAAGCTCAGACTGCAGGAGCACTACTAGGGAGGCGCTCACAGCACTCAGGCACTGAGTGGGAGAGCCACTGCTCAGGAATATTCACAGCTACCAAAATGGGAGGGAAGCACGATATGAATCTCAGGTGAGGGCGAATACCAGGGACCATCCCCACTCCAACAGGAGACCAAGAAGTGCCACC